CGTGGCCGGGGAATATTAAGCCTACCAGAGGGAGCGAGAGTTACCTATACGAAACGCACATGGAAATATGAAAATTAAAATTCTCAATTTTTCTTCAAATCAACACCACCTTTTTTTCACGAAAATCAACACAATCTATTTAGCTAATAAGTTAGCGCTATTCATTGGCATTACACTGTCAAACATTTCAATATCAAGCTAAAAAGTGTTGATGTGTCAAAAGCAAAACAGTGGAAAAACATAGCCCGGCCCTGCATTCTTTAACCGTCCGTCCACCTGTACGTAACTTCTATTTTAACGAAATCGGTTTAATAGTGCCTGGGATATGCGACCTTAAAGGTTTGGCGTGTTTAAATAAATCACCCTGTATATCCCACAAACTTCAAGAACTTTTTCTTTTAAGATAAGGGTATCGGTCCATACTACCTACCATTTCACCATGCCCCCCAGTATTAGAACAGATCGAGGGGCTCCCTTCCCCACTTGTCTATACTTGTTATTGAGAGAGATTTGAATAATATTATAGCGGGGAGACAGTTATTACAGAGAATCGTTGGAAAATATAAAGCACTGGCAACGGCGCGCCTCTTCCTTTGAGTTTGAGCTGTACGGAATTCCCCGCCACCACGCGTAGCATTCTTCGGCTAAAATGAATCATCTTCAGTGTTGCCGGTTAGCCAGTAACTACTGACATTTGCCTGGAATGTGGAAACGTGCAAGTATTATTACAAGGAAAGCGTACTTGCAAGGAATTTTCCAGTAGTACCGATACCCTTGTGCAATTTTCTGGTTTTTTCTACATAGTGTCATGCGCTGGGGTCGTCTCGTCACGTGATTTTCGAATTCAATACTGTTAAACTGATTTACGTTGCTTAAGCTGCTAAACATGACATGTTTGAATAAATGCAAATTTATGATTAAAAAAACAAAAAAGGTACAAAACATGTATTTTGATAATTAATTAGCACTTTTCATTGCCTTATTCTGTACATATTCAATCATTCCAATATTCAGCTTAAGAGGTGTTGATTTCGATACAAAACAAAAAAGTGAGAAAAATCGTTTCGGTCCGTCTACTTTTACATTACTTTTAGGTAAGCATGCTATCCTGCAAAATTTCAACGGAACTACGCCTAAGATATGCGATATTCGATATAATAATATTGGCGTGCTAAGCTATCGGTAAAGACTGAGTTAAGAATTTGACTCGGTAGAAGAAGCCAGTCAAGGTTTTGTTTGTCTACTGTCCCTCTATTCGCATGTTCTGATGTGTACTATAAATTATACTGGAAAAAAGAGGGACGCTCTACATAAAGACAGGTCACAGGACGAATTGTTTTGACTGCCCTGATTACTCATTGCCGACGGTCTGTTTAATAACTGGTCAGATCCCAAACAGAGAGTGAGAGATGAATTTTTCTGTGGTTGGTTAAATATTTGGTATTCAATAGACAAGCCAAAAACGAAGGTTGGGCAAACAATAAATTATAATTCATCAGTTCATTGTTATAATAAGGTACAAAAATCTGCAATCGAAGTTGCACATACCTCCTTCATCTTCTGGCCTCCCAAAATACTGCACTGCAATGTCGCATTAGCGCCTAAGGTGGTTAAGCAAGTAGTGGCGAAATGATATGGACTATAGAAGAGTAGCGTCACTCCGTCGTTGAAACAGTTCTTGGCGAGGTGTCTGAAATTACATTGTGGTATACCAAATCCTACATGCAGATAAACTGTGATGTCTGTGATATAGCAGCTAGTCAGGAGGAAGGTAAACATCCAGGAATGAAGGTCACCTGAAGGTAGTTGACCGCAAAACACCGGATTGTTTTACGTGTTGCGAAACTAGCAGGAAGTGGGGTGCTAATATTTCGATGCTCCGCTAATGATGTAAAGGCGACTATTGTTATTCTAACATATTTGGAATTTGAGACACCGTCGCTTAAGATGTAACACCACTAAACGCAAAGAATAACTTATTTGCTTAAAAAAGCCACCATGAATGCCGGAATGTCATCAATAGGCACAATTAGCTTATGAGGTTTCATTTGCGACTAGACAAACATGGAGGATTATAAGATCATTCGATAGCGACTCCAAAGGCCCACCGTTCTTTTATGCCCTCCTAAAAAGTTGTTAGTTTAAAGTTACATCGTGCTGGAACTCTTTATTGAACAACTAAATTTTTGTGAGTCATGACTGGGTAGTACCAAAAAGAAGAAAATACGATACAAATTTGTTATTTAGTTTTGCATTCTACGTCAATGATTATTGCCAAACATGTCCAAAGTAGATCGTTCAAGTATATTGCGAGAAAATAGATGTGATATTCCATTTCTTTATTTAATTTTATACTCTTCAGTCTACATTATTCATGTTCCCTGAAAAATAAATACGAACATACAAAAAACAAAGTGATTGTTTTCATTTACACTGAAAAAGCTTTTAGGATGTAAGCACACAGTTTGGAAAATCTGCTTTCTTTTCTGGTTACTAAGTTTAGCGCTCTTACACTCATTTTCAAACTTGTGACCGAACAATAATCCATTCCAACCTCTGTTAGAATCAGTATAGTAGTTACTGATATTGCACAATGTTAAGAAAACCAGGACGACAGGTGGGTTATCGCCAATGGGTGGAACGCTAAAGCACTCTATTTTTCAAGCCTATTTTCCAGAAAATGCTATTTATCATATATCGTCTAGACAGAAAAAATAATAATATGTATTACCCTGTATAAACTCAATTACACTATGGCATGCCAAACTACGCATTACTCTGTAGAAATCAATAAAATTAAAAGTAGGGAACCCATTCAGGTGAACCATCCGCCTGTAACCTTTCTTCGCTTTATTTGGATATCCTGGTCGCCTTCAGGCAGTAAATCATAAACAAAAAAAATTTATTGTATACCGGCATGTGTGTGGGTGTATCTATCCAGTTGAAGGGTGGATGTAAAGCTGGACATACACGCTAATAATATGCTCAGCAGCCTGGTTAACTAACTATTATGGATATTCAGATTCATGATTCCGCCTCAATATGATCTGTATGAATATTTTGGTGAACAAATCATAATCAACTGTCTCTACACACACTCCGCCGATACACGACGCGAATTCGTACCTAAAATCTCCCAGCGTTTGAGAAGCTTCATTCCATCCAGGGCCTTTGATTTCTTACCTTTCGTCTTTCACTCATACGCAATTGGTCTATCAAATGCTCAAGTTGATGATTCCATTATTACCAATGGTAGATAATGATATATCAATTTTCCTATTTTTAAATCTTCAGAACACAACACTTGAAAATATACACCCTCCTTAAAGTGTTTTGAAGGGTGCTCCATGTAAAATTTCTCTAAGAATTCTAGTTGCTACTCTCAAAACTCTTATTGTTATTGTAACCTGTTTATCGCATGTCCTATCGGTAAACATTACCGTGTATGTTTAGCTTTTGCTTAGAGTGATCCATCAGAGGGCGGTAAAGCAGATGGAAGAAATAAACCGGCAATAAATTATACTGGATAAAAGAGGGACACACTACCTAAAGACAGGTCGCAGGACGACGTGTTTCTGCTCCCCTGATTACTCATTACCGACGGTCAGTTTAATAACTGGTCAGTCAGATTCCCAAACAGAGATTGAGAGATTAATTTTTCTATGGTAGGTCATATATTTGGTATTCAATAGACAAGACAAAAATTGAAATGATTATGGAGTATATATATATATATATATATATATATATATATATATATATATATATATATACAGGTATATATATACAGGGTGTTCCATAATTATTGCGACAAAATGATAGGGGTTGTAGAGGGCATCAAAATGAACAATTTTTCCTTATAAACCCCTGTTCGGAAATATGCCGTTTGGGCTGCAGCAAAAAAAAAGATCAGTTTCTTGAAACAGCTTACCTACAGTAATTGCTCAAAGTGTCCTCCACCTTGCTCAATACACAGCTGTGCACGATTGTTCAATGATCGGCGAACTCTGTGGCATACCCCCGGTATGTCCTGAACATGTGCGGACGCGGCCATCACTCTTCCCAGTAGATCTTGTTGGTTGGGAACAGGAGTTTCGTACACTAAAGCTTTCAGATAGCTCCAGATAAAATAATCCAGTGGGGTCAGGTAAAGTGACCGCACAGGCGAAGGCACAGGGCCACCTCGGCCTATCCACCTACTTGGAAATTTGTCGTCCAAATACTGCCGCACTTGTAAAGAAAAGTGGGCTGGACCGACATGGTGTTGAAACCACATGTTGGCTCTTATATTCAGTGGCACATTTTCTAATAGTTCCGGTAGCACATGCTGTAAGGATCGACCATAAGCATGCCCATCCAAACGTGGTGGAAGCAGATATGGCCCGATGATATGCTCGTCCACAATGCCGCACCAGATGTTAATTGAAAACTGATGTTGGTCTCTATGGATGGCTATGGCATGAGGGTTTTCTTCATCCCAAATGTGACTGTTACGGCTATTAAAATAACCGTCCTTTGTAAAACAGGACTCGTCAGTGAACAAAACGTAGCGACCAAAGTTTGGTTGCCTCAACTCCTGCTGCAGCCACCAACGACAAAAACGTCGACGCGGCAGATAGTCTGCTGGACCCATGGCTTGGACTTTTAAAAGGTGGTACGGGTGTACGATAACAAAAATGTAAACACAGCAGGCTTTTTTTACAAACCGGCGAGACCATGAAATGTGCTAGACGAACATTTTGCAGCTGGTGAATTTTTTGTTTCTCCTATGAGCTCTTAAGGTAAAATTAACTGTAGTGCTCAAACAGGCATATTTACGAACAGGGGTTTATAAGGCAAAATTGCATATTTTTATGCCCTCTATAACCCCTATCATTTTGTCGCAATAATTATGGAACACCCTGTATATATAGTATATAGGTATATAATATATATATACCTATATTATATATCGAAGCAGTCGCGCAGGCAGAAGCCTAAATGCCGAAACACCGCGGCTGCTAGGATGGTCCCAAAGAAATTTTGTTAATACGATTTTTGAACTGACTAAGGTTAGTAGAACTGGGAAAAGCTTCCTCTTGTAGATTGTTCCACAGTCTCAAAACTCTCGGTACAAAGGGGCGGTCGTATCGCCCAGTTCTGGATGAACGAAGCTCGACACTGTTAGGATGGGACGTCAAAGTTAGGCGGGTCTATCTGGCAGGCACATCGCGCGGCGGCATCATGGAAGAGAGCTCCGAGGAGCAAAGCCCGTTGGTGTAGCGGCAGAAAAGAACTAGATCGCCGAAGGCCCGCCGGTGCATAGTGTATAGTATAAAATAATAAAAACAAACAGTCAATTCCATGCAATTAAAACAAAAATAATATCCTTTAAAATAAAAACAAGTAATAAATCAATATAGAATTCTCAAAAAAAAAAACAGTTTCTGTATAAATCCATAATCAAAAGTAACAAATAAACAAACACATTCTTATAAAAATCTAATACGGGCCACGTAGCAGTCTGAAAAAATGACATATTGTGATTCAAAATAGATTTCTTGTTTACAGTGAAAATGTTTCTGTACTATACGAGTACACTGAAAAAATCCTCCGTCCTATTCCCCCAAGTTGGGAATATAATTTCAAAGCGAAGTCTCACTAACTAAGTTTTTCAAAAAGCTTTGTGAAAACAGTTTAGCTACAGTTTGCTTGCAGTGACAAAAAGCACCCGCTGGTTGTTCCACTTCCACATTCATAAGAAAAAATTACATGGATTACTCTTAATGCCTATTGAAATTTAAAATATTATTTTTTTTCTCAAATATCTGGTAGCATTTTATGACTAAAAACGGGATAATTTCTTTAATTAATGCATCAAGTTGTAAATTTAATCAAGAAGGACTTATTTATTTCTTATTTACTTCGTCGCCGACGCTGGTTGGATGCAAACCCACAGACTACTAAAGAATATAGACCTCCTATCTGTTTTGATGAAACTTTCATCCAACATTCAGCGGGAATCTGCAATGTTGCATGTACAAACACTTCGAGCGTAAAACATAGGATTTTTAAAGAATGCTGTCGTCAATAATATTTACATTTCACATATATTGGATTAAACGCGGTCAAACATATATATATATATAACTATTCACATATATTGAATGGAAGAATGTGAGAAATTATTGGTCAATTGTATCATTTACCAACAAAAACTCTATTACGGATCCATTTTAAGGACGCAAAGAAATCCACTTGGCAACAGCGCGAATCGTCGATTTCATCGATTCATTCATAATTCTAAACTTGGCCTGATCTATCCGCCATTGCGCCCGCCATTGCTACTTGGTTTGCATAGTGGTTTACATGCTTTCGGCTGCGGTTTTTAATTCTTTTGTGGGGTATTTTTGTGTTTGAATAGGTGATCATGGTGAGACAGTGCTGTGTATGTAAGATTTTGGACTATAAGGAAGAAGAACAACATCTTTCATTCATGTGTAAGTATTGGTTATGTTTATATCCAGCGGCGTGGTTTTAGATTTTTCAATATAATAACTCATTGGATTGGGATGACCAATGACCACAATTTGTCTGTATTTCTATAAAAATACTTTATAAGTAGCCATGCTACATGTTCACACACATTCGATTTGTTTGACTAATTTGGGAAAATTTTATTTATCATCTTCAAATTTAAAAACATAAAAATTGATTCAGTCACTGATTTGCAGATTTCCTGTTGACCCAGTACAGAGGAATATATGGTTATCTCTCCTAGCATTTGAAGCAAACTACAAATTATCTAAACAGGCTGAAGTACGTTCTAATCATTTTCAGCAAAGTGATATTGAATGTAGCTCTTCTGGAATCAGAAGATTGAGGAAAGGCGCTGTCCCTTTGGCTAAACATTCTTTGTTTATTTTTCCAGAAAATTTGAGGTATGTCTGTATCTTATTGTTGTTCCAACATATCGCAATTTCAGTTGTTCTTATTCAATTAGTGAAAACACTGACTCTACAGATGTTAGGTAACTTACACAGCTGTGAGTTATTTATAGTATATTTATAGTAATATAATACTTGCTTTTTGTTTCAGGCTGAAATTTGATGACCTACCCAGCATTTCTGGCTTGTCTACCAGCTTGTAAGTATTTTTGTTTTGAATATTAAATTACATGAAATATTTTATATAATTTAATATAATATAATTATATTATGATATTTTATTTTTATAGGTCAGGAACAGGAAAAAAAGCATCAGTTTCCAATCGTGATCAAAGTTTTGGATCTTCTTCATCAGCAATTACCGCCTCAGAAACTGAGAACCAACCAGAGCCTGATGCTGGGTTCAAGGATGATTATCTTGCAACTGCATGTAAAAATAGGTGAGAAATATTGAGAAAATAGATGATCTAATAAGATTTTAATGACATAATGCTTCACACATATGATGAATTCCAATCATATCTCATTGTTTCAGAAAAAGAAGGTATGTGGGTGACCTATCTTCATCAGACTTTTCTACACCAGAGAAGGCGAAGAAGAATTTCCGTTTGATGAAGAATACTATAACTGCTCTGAGAAACAAGAGTCATAATCTTCACGCTAGCAATACATACTTTAAGAAAAAAATCAAGACATTAGGAGGCTTGATGAAGCTGCTTAAAGAAAAATCATATAATATAACCTGTTCTTGAGGTAAAAATCTCTAAATTAGATAATATAGAATAACGGACAGAAGTAAAATTATTTCATTTTTTTTCTTTGGTATCGACCATACTGAGTTTTGGATAGTAGTAAAGACTACATGTTTTCAATTGAATGTGTAATAAATTTACTTGTTTCATCAATTCCTGTTTAATTTAACTAGTTGAATGTATGTAAATGACTGGAGAAGGTAGTCAAAATCAACCTTTTAAGATGAATGTGGTGATTTAACTCTAAAATAATGAGCAGCAGTGCTATTACACCTTACACCCATCTTTTTGTTTTTTCAGGCCTCTTTATCAACCTCAGGACAAACAAATATTCGAGAGGATGTTGAAAGGCCCATCTTCACAAAAATATGACCCATCTATTAGATGTTTTGCTTTGACGCTATCTTTTTACTCCCCAAAAGCATACCAGTTCGTAAGGAATACTTTTAATAAATCTTTGCCTCATCCATCCACGATTTCTAAATGGTATCAGTCAATTGATGGCTCTCCTGATTTTACTTCAGAAGCACTAAATGCTTTGAATGTAAAAAAGTTAGCGTCAAAAAACCAGAACATCGTGTGCACCCTGGTCTTAGATGAAATGTCTATCAGGGAGCAGGTCGAATGGACTGGGACAAAATTCACTGGTTATATTAATATTGGACATTACGTTGTAATTGTGCACTGTTATTTTGAAATAAAGATTATTTATTATTATTATTAGGAAAACATTATGACTATTTTGGAACACACAATTTTTATTAGCTTTGACAAACTACCAAGCAACTTGTGAATTCCATGGTATTAAACGTTTCTCAAAAATATAGCAGTAGTTTTTATATTTTTCCATATTCATTGTTTTATTGGTTATCGAGCTTTTTGGTACTAACGAAGGTGTTATCATGTTTTCCTCACAAGTATTAATCTATCATGTTTTTTTGTATTGTTTTAGTTTTCAAATATATGCATTATTCTCAATAAAGGTGTCCTGGCTTCATAGTTTCATTTATTAAACTTTATTTCAGAATTATGCTTTCTTACAACTTTAAATTGGATACTCATTATATGTATGTGTTTTTGATATATTTGCCAATGCATCACGTTTTTTCTTAACCATACAATTACTCATTCAATAATACTGTATCTAACATTCATCACGACAAACTGAGATACTGAAATGAGACAGAGAATACATCAAGAAAAATGAGTCAATTCACATTCATGCCTCGTGTTTATCAAACGATTTTTGAGAGTATGGACTTTTTCAACAGCAATTTGCTCTAGAAGTTTGATCAAATTTCATCATCTCATCATTGAGATCTAAAGACCTACAGAAAATTGAAAAAGCCGTGAAGTAATGACATATTTTTAGTTACATTAATGTAATTCGGGAAAAGTTAGTTTGCGGTTATCACCACTTTTCATTGTTTAGTATTCTTATTTTGTATAAATAACATGACGTAATTTATCGATCTATTCGAGATAGAAAAAAATCTATGCCTTATAATATATACAAATGTATAAAAATACTAGTGCCAAAAAATTCAATCACCCCCAACTTTCAACCCGTACAAAAAAAATCCCAAAATGATCAGGAGCCTCTGAAACGTTAAGAAACGAAGTTTGGGCGTTTTTTATTTTTTAGTTTTTTGTCTCTAGCACCGCCGCCACTAGATCGATTTTCAAAAACTATAAAGCTTTTTCACCCTTGGCATAGTAATAAACTTGTGTGAAAGTTTCCTTGAAATCCGAGTGGTACTTTCCGTTATAAGTGGGCTAAGGATTATCAGACAGACTGACGGAAATGAGTGACATGGTTTTTCGTGATCTACATGTTATGTGGCATCCAAAAAACATAATATCTCAATTTCAAAATTTTTCGCGATTACAATACTTTCCCGCGAGTTGGCGAGGGAAGTAAAACATAATTATGAGTCGTTTATTACCAGCAGATTTATCAGTCTGTACAGTTAAGCAGATCAAAGGATGAATTTCGAAAACGAATTGGCTGATGCATCGCTCCTTTTATACTTCGCAATTATATTTGCTCAATATAAACAAGTAGCCTCAAATACTCACCCTATTCTACGCCGCTGGATCGAGCTGCGAACGGTGCGGCATGTGTTAGCCTTGGAAATCATATGTTCTGGTGAAGTCGGCCATTTTTACTATCTTTTACTATATGTATATATATTTACTATACACCCGCACTCCCCCCTGGCCCATCGCATTGTCGGCAAAGACGAATTTGTGATTTATGAATGACTTGCAAGGTCTATATTCTTTAGTAGTCTGTGCACATACCCCACGCCTCTGTTCCTATTCTGGTATGGGCACACCGGCGTATTCAAGGGAGAGATTTTGGGCTCCTCGGAGTTTCCCTTCCCGAAGAGTAACAGCTCATTAGGCTTCTTCTACATATTACAGCATGTTATACCTTCTGTGAAGTGTGCTACCTGGACTAAGAGAGTCCCCCCCCCCCCCTGCTATGCAGTTTTCTATCTCCACGACCGTGGATCCTGAGCCTCCTCCCAGATCTTTTTCTGGATAACACCACTGGTTGAGCAGTATCTCAATCTACAGGAAACAAAATCGCGAAATCAACCACAACAGTGGCTCCTACAAATCACCTTTATGGGCACCTTTAAATTTCCGTCATCGGACCAAACTAGGAAGTCACATATGAATAAATTTAATGAATCATAACTGATCAAAAATTCTATATACTTGGATTTCTGCTTAAAGTGGCTGAACCTACCAGTATGTCTACAAAGTAAGTAGCATGTAGACCAGAATGCAGTTTTGTATAGACACGAAAGTGGTTAAACTGAATACTGGTGAAATACTTTTCAGAGCTAATGAAATTAGTTGCAAGAAGGATAAATAGCCAGCGCTAATTTCGTAAAGTAAACGTTTTTCATATTTACATTTTAGAAGAGAATGTTCAGTTTCCAAACGTTAGGTAGCCTAGCACTTACGGCTTGTCTATTCAATACCAAAGATCCAACCCACCATATCAGAATTAATCAAATAACCTGCTTCTGCCTGAATATTGAAATTTGAAGGAAATATTTTGCTTTTGAAAAGCCTGGATATATATTACAAATATACAACTCAATCAAGCCACGCACCTCTATAGAATGCGGTTCCTTTTATCTATAATTTATTGCTCGGACATTACCTTCCAGTATCAGTAATGCTTTTTAGACTGTCTTCGGCGCTAATACAACGTTGCAGTTTAGTATTTTGGGAGGCCAGAAGATGAAGGAGGTATGTGCAACTTCGATTGCAGATTTTTGTACATAGTGAGTGGTTCAATAAAAATTCAAATAATTATGAAATATATATATAATATAGTATAAAATAATAAAATAAAACAGTCAATTCCATGCAATTAAAACAAAAATAATATCCTTTAAAATACAAACAAGTAATAAATCAATCTAGAATTCTCAAAAAAAACTGTTTCTGTATAAATCCATAGCCAGAAGTAACAAATAAACAAAAACATTCTTACAGAAATCTAATACGGGCCAGGTAGCAGTCTGAAAAAATTACATATTGCTATTCAAAATAGATTTCCAGTATACAGTGAAAATGTTTCTATACTATAGACTGAAAAAAATCTCCGTCCCATTCCCCCAAGTTGGGAACATCATTTCAAGGCGAAGCTTGACTAAGTAAGTTTTCCAAGAAGCTTTGTGAAAACAATTTAGCTACAGTTTGCTTTCAGTGACAAAAAGCACAACAGGAAAATGAACAAAAAATCAGGCCGAATTTTTTTCTTAGGATGCGATTTGAGGTAATAATAGCCAGCCGTCTGAATGCTAAGTCCACTAAATGAGGAGTTAAATAGAAAAAACAACCTTTTTTCTCGCTACTGTCAATTTCTTTGTTAGCCGAAAACACAAAATACAGCTTTTGTGTTTGAGGTGCCGCGCCGCGGACTGCATGGATTACTCTTAATACCTATTGAAATTTAAAATATTATTTTGTTTCTCAAGTGTCTGGTAATATTTCATGACTAGACAGGATAATTTCTTTGATTAATGCATTAATTTGAAAATTGAATCAAGGACTTATTCATTTCTTATTTACTTCGTCGCCGCCGCTGGATGGGTGCAATCCCAATGATATTAGAAAGAAGTGCGGAACTCTTTGAGCTTGGCTCACAGACCCCACGCCTATTCTGGTATGGACACACCGGCGTATTCATGAGAGGGCTTTGGGGCTCCTCGGAGTCTGCCCTCCCGAAGCGCAACAGCTCATTACGCTTCTTCTACATATAGCATGTTATGCTATATGTTCTGTGAAGTGTAGCTACCTGACTAAGCGAGTCCCCTCCTGCTATGCAGTTTTCTATCTCCAAGACACCCCTCCCCTCCGAGACGGAATTTTCATGACCCTGGATCCTGACCCTACCCCCAGATCTTTTTCTGGATAACACCACTGGTTGAGCAGTATCTCAATCTACAACAAACAATTACTATCTCTAGGCAGCAGCGGTGGCCGCAGTAGTAGACTCTTCGGTCTCCTGGTCAGTCTTGGCTATGGAGGTTGTGATTGTCCGTAGGTGGTAAACGGTCTCTGACTGTCGAACGCGAGGTACTACCCGGCGGATCTCGTAGGCGGAGCCAGAATATGTGCATGTTGCATGCACACGTGTTCCCTCGCCAGAGTCCGTGTGGCGTTCCCCCTTTCCCCTGTATCCCCCTATAGCCCTACGGTACCTAATGGGTGTTTAGGCCTTAGGCCTTCGTGGAAGTTGGAGTATAAAAAAAAATCAACCACAACAGTGGCTCCTACAAATCACTTTTATGAGCACATTTAACATTTCCGTCATCGGACTAAACTAGGAAGTCACAGATGAATAATATTAGCAAATCATAGCTGATCGTAATTGTTTGTATTAGTATTGGGAGGATTACTGGAAAAGCAAAAATTCTACATACTTGGATTTCTGCATAAAGTGGCTGAATCTACCAGTATGTTTACAAAGTAAGAAGCATGTAGACCAGAATGAAGTTTTCTATAGACACAGAGAACGGTTAAGCTAAATACTGGTAAAACACTTTTCAGGGCTAATGAAATTAGTTGCAAGAAGAATAAATAGCCAGCGCTAATTTCGTAAAGTAAACAGTTTTCATATTTACAAGTTAGATGTGAATGTTCAGTTTCCTAGTTAACTACGGCTTGTTTATTCAATACCAAACATCCAACCTACCATACCAGAATTAATCAAACAACCTGCTTCTCCCTGAATATTGAAATTTGAAAAATATTTTCCTTTTCAAAAGCCTGGAGATATATTACAAATAAAGATGTAGTCTGCTTTGAAAATCATACCATATTGGGAATTTAATTAAGCCTGCCCCTCATCAACAGCAATAACCCACCGCCACTGGAGACAACTCAACCAAGCCACCCGCCTCTATAGAATGCGGTTCCTTTTATCTATAATTTATTGCTCCGACATTACCCTCCAGTATCAGTAAGGCTTTTTATACTGTCTTCCGCCCCAATACAACGTTGCAATTCAGTATTTTGGGAGGCCAGCAGATGAAATTTCCATGTGCATTTCGTATAGGTAACTTTCGCTCCCTCTGGTAGGCTTAATATGCCCCGGCCACGAGATGTAATCGATCCCGGTTATGAAGGATGCATTGTAGCATTGATTTTCGTGAAAAAAAAGTGGTGTTGATTTGAAGAAAAATTGAGAATTTTAATTTCCAAATTTCCATGTGAGTTTCGTATAGATAAGTTTTGCTCCCCCTGGTAGGCTTAATATGCTCCGGCCACGGAATGTAATCAATCCCGGATATGAAGGATGCATTGTAGCATTGATTTTCGTGAAAAAAAAAGTGGTGTTGATTTGAAGAAAAATTGAGAATTTTAATTTTCAAATTTCCATGTGAGTTTCGTATAGATAAGTTTTGCTACCCCTGGTAGGCTTAATATGCTCCGGCCACGGAATGTAATCGATCCCGGATATGAAGGATGCATTGTAGCATTGATTTTTGTGAAAAAAAAGTGGTGTTGATTTGAAGAAAAATTGAGAATTTTAATTTTCAAATTTCCATGTGCGTTTCGTATAGGTAACTTTCGCTCCCTCTGGTAGGCTTAATATGCCCCGGCCACGAGATGTAATCGATTCCGGATATGAAGGATGCATTGTAGCATTGATTTTTGTGGTGTTGATCTGAAGAAAAATTGAGTATTTTAATTTTCAAATTTCCATGTGCGTTTCGTATAGGTAACTTTCGCTCCCTCTGGTAGGCTTAATATGCCCCGGCCACGAGATGTAATCAATCCCGGTTATAAAGGATGCATTGTAGCATTGATTTTCGTGAAAAAAAAGTGGTGTTGATTTGAAGAAAAATTGAGAATTTTAATTTCCAAATTTCCATGTGAGTTTCGTATAGATAAGTTTTGCTCCCCCTGGTAGGCTTAATATGCTCCGGCCACGGAATGTAATCAATCCCGGATATGAAGGATGCATTGTAGCATTGATTTTCGTGAAAAAAAAAAGTGGTGTTGATTTGAAGAAAAATTGAGAATTTTAATTTTCAGATTTCCATGTGCGTTTCGTATAGGTAACTTTCGCTCCCTCTGGTAGGCTTAATATGCCCCGGCCACGAGATGTAATCGATCCCGGATATGAAGGATGCATTGTAGCATTGATTTTCGTGAAAAAAAAAGTGGTGTTGATTTGAAGAAAAATTGAGAATTTTAATTTTCAAATTTCCATGTGAGTTTCGTATAGATAAGTTTTGCTACCCCTGGTAGGCTTAATATGCTCCGGCCACGGAATGTAATCGATCCCGGATATGAAGGATGCATTGTAGCATTGATTTTTGTGGTGTTCATCTGAAGAAAAATTGAGTATTTTAATTTTCAAATTTCCATGTGCGTTTCGTATAGGTAACTTTCGCTCCCTCTGGTAGGCTTAATATGCCCCGGCCACGAGATGTAATCCATTCCGGATATGAAGGATGCATTCTAGCATTGATTTTCATGAAAAAAAAAGTGGTGTTGATTTGAAGAAAAATTGAGAATTTTAATTTTCAGATTTCCATGTGCGTTTCGTATAGGTAACTTTCGCTCCCTCTGGTAGGCTTAATATGCCCCGGCCACGAGATGTAATCGATCCCGGATATGAAGGATGCATTATAGCATTGATTTTCGTGAAAAAAAAGTAGTGTTGATTTGAAGAAAAATTGAGAATTTTAATTTTCAAATTTCCATGTGCGTTTCGTATAGGCAACCTTCGCTCCCTCTGGTAGGCTTAATATGCCCCGGCCACGGAATGTAATAGATAGTGTGATAACACTGACAACACAAAATGTATATAATTTTGTGTAGATACTATAACACCGTTTTACATGGGAAGACGGTGCCGCACCTCCTGCTTACGCTGCGCCGGCTTCGCTGCTGTAGCGATGCTGTCCATCGCGACGAGGCCGCTGGTGAGAAGAGGGACTACCGTTTGTTGCTGGGTGGCCGTTGTTGCTAGAATCACCGCGGTCATTTAGGGCCTCTGCCAAATTGCGTACTACACGATGACATAAATGGCAAACGAGTCGATACAAATTACTGTAGGGGGTTTGAGTTCCGCAGACACTCTTTTATTTGCACTGGTTGATGACCTACTGACCAGATCCTTATTTTCAATAGCATGCTCTAATAGAAAATAGAACATCCATTACTTAGTATTACCACTCTATTTCTACAGGGTGTCCAGCGCGAAAGTTCACTTTTTGATCTAAGAATAAAAGTACAATTTTGATGAAAAGAAAATGTTTATTGCTATCAACATATTCGTAAACTAGGCGGATTTTATTTCTTAAATATCATTTTGTCCAAATGTTTGCCATCTCTTCTAATGGCGCGCAAATTCTGAAACACCCTCCTGCAGAGTTCCGGAGTGATGTTGTTTATTTCTCGTCGAATGTTGTCTTTAAGCTCCTCCAGTGTTCTTTAGATAACCCAGACGTCTCCCCAGTGTTGCCAGGCGGAGTCGACGATATTTCGGTAGAATTGTATGGAATTTTTCGGTAGATTGAATACTGGAGAGTAAATGAAGCTAACCTAAAGCTAAAAGCTAAAATTTAGCTAACTAAAGGTAAAATATTCTTAATAAAAAACAGAAAAAGTGTATAAAATAAAAAATGTGTAAGTTATATTGGATAATCGTTTTTCCGATTCATCTTTGTATAAGTTTTTATCAGTCATATTATCTACTAATTTTGCTTTGCCATATGGTCCATCAGCAGGAAATAATGGCAAATTATGCTCGGCCAAAAATGCGCTCAAACGAATTTCTCCTGGAAATAATAAAATAGTCTATATAATCTCAAATCTTCTCAATTAATTTTACCTTCTTTCATATCATTTTTTAACTTCTTTGATGCACCTGCAACTGCAAATGACAACAGTTTTGGCTGTTCTGCTATGGTTTGCACTTTTTCATGAAATTGCCCATTTGCGCGTTTTATAAGTGCATCTCTTCCACTTTTGATACCTTTATCACAGACCATGCATTTCGCATAATCGCGCCCTTTATTGCTTTTTCAAGCCAGCCTTGGAAATCTGGCAATTCTTCTCAGTCTTCCTCATAATGTTGGGCACACGCACGCAATAAAAAATGACTGCAAGCTATAAGCAATACTAATACTGGCCGAATTCGGAATTACTAACTACACGAAATCATACAAATCATACAATACAGGTATGGACGTGTCACGAGCCTCTAGGCCTAGGCGATGCAGCCAAATCATCGAGTATCTTCAGTGATTCCCCAGATGTGAAGACTCAGCGTATGTGACACATAAACGTCAGGCAAAGAGAATAAAAATATATCTGGTCTAGTACGAATAATAATAGTATTTTTGTCATTCTCTTTATCGCTATGCATCAGAAAAGTTTCTCTTATATAGGGAACAAAAATTATTCAATTGAAGGAAAAGTCCACTTTTCGGTAGATTTTGCTTTAAAATCGGTAGTTCGGTAGACCAGGACCAAAATCGGTAGATCTACCGAAAAATCGGTAGACCTGGTAACACTGCCTTTCCCCCACTTCCTCGCGTATACGGATACCGCGTAGTTCAAATTTGAAATGTGGAATTTCCCACTTATAGTTACATAGAGTATGCGAACACAATTATGTTGCTTTGATTTTTAACGTGTTATTTTTGTGTTTGTTTTGTTTAACCAATCCTTTTTCACTATTTTTCCTCTTTTCCACTTTGTTTGCAAGGTTGATTTTTTTAAATTTGTTTTATTTTTTACTTTATACTAATATATTTTTTTAATTATTTTCTTGTTTTCATTGTTTTTTTCAAACAAACTTACTGTAATCACATATACATCGTATAATCGTTCGCCTATTTTCCGACAATGTTAGTATAAAATTTTGTTAACTTGCTGGTCTTCAGAACCAAGAATCGAGTATAAACTTGGAGGCTAATTTGATACAATTCGGTATTTTCTCTGTTAGAATTTGGAATGAGGTGCTGTAAGGTTCCTAGATTTCATCATCTCCCTGTCTAATTCTTGATGGTGGTGTCTTTCGCCGACACCAGATTTTATAAACTTTTTTTCTGTCAGAATTGATTCGATTTTTTACAAGCTTTCATTAGTTTCACCAGTCCGAGACTGTGAATAATCAAATCTTGTAAATTAAATTGTTAAATTTGACCCACTGGACACTGTTGTCGCCAAAAACACTGGACACTGCTGTCGCCAAAAATAAGTCATCGGCAAGTCAACTTTTGTGTTCTTTCTGGAAGACTGAAAGTACGAGAGATGTCTTTTAAGTTTTGCATATGGAAATAAAACAACACGGTAGGTAGTTTTAAATGACTATTGTTTTTCGAAGAATAATACATGCGCTCGAACCAATTTTCGAAGCACTTATTCCACTCGTTTGCTGGCAGATCCAAAACGGCATTTTTGAATGCGTCAACTGCTTCTTCTGGTGACTCGAACCTTTGACCACGCAGTCTGTTTTTAATTTTCGGGAAAGTAAAGAAATCGTTAGGACTTCGATCGGGACTATATGGAGGATGGTCCAATAATTCCACATTTTCTTCTGTTAAATACTGCCTTGTTTTTTGGTCTGTGTGCGAGCTTGCATCGTCTCGGTGCAGAATGATTCTTCTTTCGGGGTTGATTTTTCGAAGCTCGGTGATGACTTTTGGCAAACAAATGGTGGTATACCAATCCGCAGTAACAGTTCTTTGCTCATTAAGAGGCTTTTGACACAAATGTCGCGACCATATTTTTCGAAACACTTCGAGACCGGATGACTTTTGTTGGCTTTTCTTTACCTTGGAACACCTAAACAGCTGACTGTAGTTTATTTTCTGGTTCATAACAGTAAATCCACGATTCATCACCACTAACAATGCTCTACGCATTTTTTGACTTTCCGGAATTGAAACGGTCAAGCGTTATTTGACACCAATTAACCCTGTCTGCTTTCTGCTCTTCAGTCAACAGGTGGGGTATCCAACGAGAAACTAATTTTCTGACTCCCAATTCTTCATGTAAATTTTTTTGAATTGAGTTTTTTGAGATCTTCAAGGACGCCTCAATCTCGCGATATGTCACATGTCTATCTTCAATCATGAGTTTGCGCACAGCATCGACATTTTCCTGGGTGACTGCCGTTTTTGGAGCACCCACCCTGGGATCATCGCTAAGACTCACCCGTCCACCTTTTAGTTCTCCATACTAACAGGAAATTGTCGAATGATGTAGCGCTTCTTTGTCGAAAACAGACAGTAACTCAGCAACGCATTCTTGTTGCGATAATTCTTTCTGAAAGTTGTAATAAATTATGGCGCGAAAATGTTCTCGGTTGAGCTCTATTTTTCTAATGACTTGGTGACACTTAAAAATTCACTGTAGTGAGAACACTGCCCGTATTGTTGTGAAACTTTGAATTTAAGTTTACTAAAGAGTGAGATTAAGATTCAGTACTGACGTTCGATCCGCGCGGCCTACTATGTTTCTATATGCAAAACTTAAAAGACATCCCTCGTAGTACAAGAATTAGGAATACATCTATAAGTAGACTATTTTTACTATTAAACACGTTGAATGAAAGAAAGTCGTATGAGTAACGTATTTCACAAATAAAACTTGTCCAGATCAATCAATCAATATATTCTTTTACCAAAAACTTACAATACTTATGCAATGATCGATATATGGAAAGAAACACCTTGAACACATTTCTTGAGTCTGTTGATCACACTTCCTCATCTCATAAAATTTTCGCGTCTTCTCTGGTTGTAGTTTGAGTCTGAAACACGATGTCCTTTAACCGTCCCCATAAATAAAAATGAAGACAAGTTAAGTCTGGTGATCGCGAAGGGCATGGAAACAGACTTCCTCTTCCAATCCACCGCTCTTGAAATACTGCATTAATAAGCTCTCGCACAATAATAGCAAAATGTGCTGGTCAACCATCCAACTGCAAAAACAAGTTTTGCCGTGTGTTGAAGTTGAGGGATTGCTCGAAAAAATGTGCCTCACCACACATTTAAACTCCGACGGCCTTGGTGCTGAAGTTGGCGCAACGAATGCGAATTTTCCGCAGACCAATGATGCATATTGTGCAAACGCTCCCGTCACTATTAAAGGTGGTTTCATCGGTCCAAAAAATTAACCAAAATTTTCTTTTGCCTAAAATTTAGGCTAGGAACAAGATATCGAGACGCGGTTTGATTATACATCACTTAGCTACTTTTTTAATAAAACAAAATCATACCGATGCATTTAGTTTTTTCGAGAAAATTAACCACCTCTGTCGGAATGTCGAAAAAACTAACAAGACTTCAAATATTATAACATTTGTAGCCCTCTTGGGCTATTCTTATAGCTCTTTTCAACTAGCCCAAGTTTGTTGAAATCGGCTCAGCCGTTTCGATGATACAGGTAGTTTTTTTACGGAAACCTTTGAATACCCCCACCACTTTATTTTTATCAGGTATTTTTTCGTAGGTTAATATAGTAATTCACTGAAACGTCACTTTTTTAGATTCAAGATTGCAGTTTTCGCCGTTTTACTAACTGGCATTCTTAGATGGCTGCCCTATACAATAACAATAGGACTGCAAGCATATTTGTCGCAGTGATGTTGTTATTATTATTATTACAATAACTTCCTCGCCGATTGGGGTGGAATTTCCGACTCTATCTCGTAAAACAGACCTTCTATTGACCCAGATATTGCGCTGGTCTTCTCGACGATGAGGACGCTTTTCGGCGCCGACGCCATGCGTCGCGTCGCCATTCCACCGCACATTCATGCTTGTCGGCACGTAAGCCAGTCACCAGCCGAGGCGTAAAATTCTTTTTTGGATTCGTAGCAGCACTCGGCAGCAGACGCCACGCGTTCCCGTTAACCCCTTTGTTTTGCAGATGGTAAACATCACGTAAGCTTTCTTGAGAAATCGTTCGGTGTTGCCTGCCTGATGCAAAAATAAAAATGTAAATGTAGAAATACTTTGTGTAAGGTTTCTTATGGGTTGAATACAATCTGTTTGCTTTCCGTCTCTGGGACCATAAGGAAGAAAGGAAGTCAATGTTAGGCTAAGTTCAGGTGTCATGCTTTCGCTTGGCGCTTGTTTTGAAAATACACAGATTTAGTCAATTTATCCAAGAAAGAAACGAATGCTTCGTTCGAACAGTGGTTGGTGCCTGTGTCTGGGATCCCGTCGTGTAAATTCCGTCTATGCAGGGTGTTATTTAAGTACGTGGCCAAACTTTGTTAGGTGATTCTTTGTGTAATTTTAATTCATGTAAACGTAGGTCCAGAAATGCTTCATATTCACGCTACAAGGTGTCAACCTTTTTTTTATTTTTTTTTCTAATTATCTTGAACATTCACTCGATTTTGTTCAAATTTGGCAGTAGTGTTGAGGGCAGTAAGAGGTTAATTTAGCCCCCATTATATTGAAATTATCAAGTCCAGTGGGGTCCCAACTAACACCCGAAGCAATATCTTTGACAAAAAATATATGCGCCACCGAATTTTTGGAATTATATATATATATATATATGAGAAGTAGTCATTGCCAAAGCCAACGGCTAGTTGGGTACAAAATACAATTACTTGTTAGTTGGGAAATTGGCAAAACTTTTAGGCTAGAGTTGACTCTTCGAAAAAAAAAAAGATTTTATCGTCAAAAGAGTCAACTTTAGCCTAAAAGTTTTGCCAATTTCCCAACTAACAAGTAATTATATATATATATATATATATATTTACTAATTAAAGAGCTAACAATACAACTTTTTGTCTATGAGTTTCTTTCATATCTACCTTTGTTTGCTAGATAAAAAATAAAAAGGACTTTACTTTAAAGACGTCTTTTGAATTTTTGTTCAGATTAAGTACACCCGCTTTCGATAAAATGAATAAAAATAAAATATTTACGTATCGTTATTTATTGTTGCAACGTTTTGCCAGTGGCATTGCACATTGATAACGCAGGAAATTAAAAAAAAATGGAACCGGAAAAAAGTCTTTTTAAAACAACGCAAACTTTTAATTCAATGAAAACGTTTAACCGTAAATAACACGAGACTTATAATAGTTGCTGAAAATGCCCTCCTTCAACCTCAATGCAAGCTCGTCTCAACATTTATCGTCGAGCTCGTTGAAATACGAGGGATGTCTTTTAAGTTTTTGCATACAGAAACATAGTAGGCCGCGCGGATCGAACTTCAGTACTGAATCTTAACCTCACTCTTTAGTAAACTTAAATTCAAAGTTCCACAACAATACGTGCAGTGTTCTCACTACAGTGAATTTTTCAGTGTCACCAAGTCATTAGAAAAATGGGACTCAACCGAGAACACTTTCGCACCATAATTTATTACAACTTTCAGAGACAATTATCGCTTGCTGAGTTACTGTCGGTTTTCGGCAACGAAGCGCCACATCAGTCGACAATTTCCCACTGGTATGGAGAATTCAAACGTGGACGGGTGTGAGTCTTAGCGACGATTTCAGGGTAAGTGCACCAAAAACGGCAGTCGCCCAAGAAAACGTCGATGCTGTGCGCAAACTCATCATTGAAGATGACATGTGACATATCGCGAGATTGAGGCGTCCTTGAAGATCTCAAAGACCTCAATTCAAAAAATTTTACATGAATAATTAGGAGTAAGAAAATTAGTTTCTAGTTGTATACCCCACCTGTTGACTGAAGAGCAGAAAGCAGCCAGGGTTAATTGGTATCAAAAAACGCTTGACTGTTTCAATTCCGGAAACTCAAAAAACGTGTACAGCATTGTTAGTGGTGATGAATCGTGGATTTACTGTTATGAACCAGAAAATAAACGACAGTCGGCTGTTTTGGTATTCCAAGTTGAAGAAGAGCCAACAAAAGTCATCCGTTCTCGAAGTGTTTCGAAAAAGATGATCGCGACATTTGTGTCAAAAGCGATATTGCAACAATTCCTCTTAATGAGCAAAGAACTGTTACTGCGGATTGGTATACCACCATTTGTTTGACAAAAGTCTTCACCGAGCTTCGACAAATCAACCCCAAAAGAAGAATCATCCTACACCAAGGCAATGCAAGCTCGCACACAGCCCAAAAAACAAGGCAGTATTTAACGGAAGAAAACGTGTAATTATTGGACCATCCTCCATATAGTCCTGATCTAAGTCCTAACGATGTCTTTACTTTCCCGAAAATTAAAGACAGGCTGCGTGGTCAAAGGTTCCAGTCACCAGAAGAAGCAGTTGACGCATACAAAAATGCCGTTTTGGATCTGCCAGCAAACGAGTGGAATAAGTGCTTCGAAAATTGGTTCGAGGACATGCAGATGTGTATTAATCTTCGTGGAGAATACTTCAAAAAACAATAAAGTCATTTAAACTACCTACCGTGTTGTTTATTTCATATGCAAACTTAAAAGACATCCCTAGGTATTCTCGGCGTATGTCTTAGGCTGGGCGCATACATTCGTTTTCCGCGTCGATTTCCGAATTCGGTTTCCGTATTCGGAGACCAGAATGCATCAAACGCTAATAAAATACATTGAGCGCCGCACACTTCCTTTTTTTTCGAACGGAACACATTCCGTACGTACGTTTCGGAAGCAAGCCTGTGCGTTCATGAAAACGGTACGGATAAAACCTAGTGACGTCACGCGAAACGCAGCACTGGCATACATTTGTAATGTACCGACGCACACAGTCGGAAATTTCCATCCAGAACCCCGCAGTGACGTGCGCATTGGACGTCACGTCGTTGCATCAAGAGCTCAAATGCATCAGGACAATGTGTGAAGCAGAAGAACTAACATTGGCTGTTGAAAACCACACCTGCTGTGGGATATTCATGACAAGACTGCCACAATAGATATGCCAAAGATTTGGCGTGGGAGCAAATTTTCAAAGAGGTCATACAGGATTGGAACTGATGCACAGAAGCGGAAACAGAAAACAAGAGTAAAATTACTTTTCTTTCACTTTTATTACAAAGACTGTTGCCTACTGTACTTTTATTGTTGTAAATTGGTAAACCTTTCGTCATGTACTGCAAACTCATCTCTTATGCTTCGGTCTCGGTTTGTAGATCTAAATAATAATAATAATAACAATAACAATAACAATAACAATAACAATAACAATAACAATAACAATAACAATAACAATAACAATAACAATAACAATAACAATACAATAACATAACAATAACAATAACAATAACAATAACAATAACAATAACAATAACAATAACAATAACAATAACAATAACAATAACAATAACAATAACAATAACAATAACAATAACAATAACAATAACAATAACAATAACAATAACAATAACAATAACAATAACAATAACAATAACAATAACAATAACAATAACAATAACAATAACAATAACAATAACAATAACAATAACAGTAACAATAACGGTAACGGTAACGGTAACGGTAACGGTAACGGTAACGGTAACGGTAACGGTAACGGTAACGGTAACGGTAACGGTAACGGTAACGGTAACGGTAACGGTAACGGTAACGGTAACGGTAACGGTAACGGTAACGGTAACGGTAACGGTAACGGTAACGGTAACGGTAACGGTAACGGTGACGGTGACGGTGACGGTGACGGTGACGGTGACGGTGACGGTGACGGTGACGGTGACGGTGACGGTGACGGTGACGGTGACGGTGACGGTGACGGTGACGGTGACGGTGACGGTGACGGTGACGGTGACGGTGACGGTGACGGTGACGGTGACGGTGACGGTGACGGTGACGGTGACGTGACGGTGACGGTGACGGTGACGGTGACGGTGACGTTGAC